ATTTCAGTTCTTCTTAGATAACATACAGACTGAGCTACTGTCATACATAGATGAGGTAAATAAAAGAAGAAAAGGACATGCAGCCAAAGAAGTGATAGGAGGACTTGAATAGACAAAGTGTATAGAAAACAGGAAGTTAGCCCAAGAAACTAAACAAGTTATCAGAGAGTGACTTCGTAGTGTCATGCTGGATGTTTGTGCACACCAAAGTCTAGAATTGTACAGCTTAAATTTTCACATTTTGCTGAAAGCTTTGGTATTAAAGAAAAAAAGGAGAATTCATGTGTGTTATGAGACATAACCGGCTGTACCTCCTGAATCTGTAGTTTCCCGTCGGCAGTGACATCATAGGCAGACATAAACCTTTTCTTCAAATTCTGGACATCTTCTTCAGTGACTTTGTCCTGTACAGATTAAAACAAAACATTGATTCTCTATCCAAACTCAACCATTACAAAACCAGTACACGGTTTAACTGAAAGGCAGCTACAGTGTGGAATAAACAACGGTTCTAAATGTACACAGTAATAAAAAATAATATATAAGATAAATCCAGTTATGCTATTACATACAGGTTGCTTACTATATATTTGAGAATCTTAAGAATCAAAGATATTGAACATAATACTTCAATGGGTGAGTCACACTTATTTTAAGCAGTGTCACCATGGATACTTATTTAATCTAAGACTTTTTTTTCTCTCAAGGTCTGCTTTCTCTACCCCAGGCTAACTGATCCACAGCTTAACCCACAGTTCACTTACTTGGCCTTCCTTTTCACATTCCCATTCTCACTACTCACTACATTATCACTGCAGGAGATCACCTGCCTACATCTACCCTCTACTATTCTCCTGTCACTCTGCATGCCCCCCTTCACAACATCTATGAACCTCCTCTGAGGTCTTCCTCTTTCCCACCTGCCTAGCAGCTCCACCTCAAACCCCCTCTGTCCAATATATCAGCTATCCCTCCTCCTCAAATGTTCCATACAGCTCAAACTTGCTTCTCTAACTTTGTCTCCAAAATGTAGAACCTGAGCTGTCTATCTGATGTTTTCATTTCTAATCCCGTCCAGGTCTTTCCTAGTGAAAATCTCAGCTTCCTCAGCTCTGCCACCTCCAGCTCAGCCTCCTCTCTCTTTGTTAGTGCTAGCATCTCCCAACCATACATCACAGCAGGTTTCACTACTATCTTGTAAACATTCCCTTGATCTCTTGCTGCTCCTTCTGTTGCAAATCATCCCCCACACTCCTCTCCGCTCACTCCACCCTACCTGCACTCGTTTCTTTACTTCTCTCTAGTGTATTTAAACTACTCTACGTTGAATACCTCAACTCCTTGCAGCTTTACTTTTCCACACCTCTCTCTCATTCACATATTCTGTCTTACTTCAAATTTCATTCCTCTATTATCCAGGGCATACCCCCACCTCTGCAGGGCCTTTCTACATGCTCCGTATTCGAACTACAGGTCACAATGTTGTCTGGGAACATCATCGCTTTCTAAGTCTACTGCTTTGATCTCCACTGCCAGCCTGTCTATCACCATGCCAACAAAAACGGGCTCAGAGCCGACTGATCCATCCACTGGAAACCATCCTTGGGACCTGTGCGAGCTCGTTGTAATTACTGCCAGACCAACCTGTTGACTCAAGTCAAAGAGCAGTCCTGAGAGAGCTGACAACTTTTAGGACAAAATGAGATCTTTTTCAGTTCATTTATCAGTCATTCGGTTTATATAGTACCCGAACAACAATCCAGAGCCTTGTGACTGGAGTGACTGGAGCTCATTAGGCGAGTAGGTCTTCTACTCAGTGGAATTTGGTGGTTCGATCCCTGGCTGGTTGCCAAAGTATCCTTGGCCAAGATACTCAACCCACAAATTACTCTTCGATGTATTCATTGGAATATCTAATTGTTAGATGGAAAGCACTTAGATAGAAAAAAGTACTAGTATGAATGGGTGTGAATGAGGCATATTGTGTAAAGTGCTTTGAGTCTTCACCTAGAATAGAACAACACTGATCCATTGAGATTCCCAGTGGACAGACTGTGCTGGGTCTTTTTATTTTCCACTACCATCTCAATTATGTGCTTTTATCTGATGGATTCTTAACTTGCTATTTGATGCACAACACTGTATTAAAGTTGCATTCAAGAATAAAGAAAACACTTTCTAATAGACTGTAAACAAAATTAAATAGACCATAAAAAGAAAGAAAAAGCAGTGCAGAGTTAGTTTGTTGCTTGCTTATATCAGCTTCTTTCATTTCCTCTGCAGACCAGTTTCTTTCTCTGCCAGATGTCAGATAAGTGTGAATCAACTGAAGGCGATAATTTTGAGCCACTGAAGTTCTTTTAAAGTATATTTAGCAGCTCATCTTTCAGTTCTTTTTTAACCATGAACCACTCTGTAACTGTAACTATAGAAACCTGTGGATCTAAGGAGCTGAAGTCTGACTCTCTGCTTCATCCAATGCAGTGTACACAGTCTGCAGACTACAAGGTGACAGCCCTTCTCATTGCAGAAAGAATATTGCTCTTGAGCATTAGCCTTGTATCACTCACTCTGTTGCTAAGTAAAGATTTTAAAGCAAACAACTTAATTTGAAAAACATGTTTTTCTAGACTAGCACAATACTAACTTGAGCATTGTTTAGATTTTACTGCCACATTAGACTTGCAATGTATCACATAAAACCTGAGTATGCAACTTGTGAGCAATTCTTGTACAATATTTTGCACCACATGCTTAATTATGTGGTATGATGCACTCCAGGAAACAAAAGAACAAACCAAAGAGCACTGTGTGGCTGATGCTGCCCAATAGTTCAAAAGCAATGAATAGAAAAAAACAGAATGACTGTCAAGTGCTTTTGTAGCACAAAAACAAACACACCAAACACTATATCACCTTGGGGGGGCATTATAGATGGAAAGCAAACATCAGAAAGACAAAAAGGACATGTGGTTGGTGGTCTGTTTGTCCTAGTACTACATAATTAGTATCCAAGGGAGTTCCACTGATAAACACACATGCAAACATGAACGTGTGCTAATAGATGTGTGCTCGTCTCAGTGTCCATTAGGAAAGAGCTGGCTCAGTCTTTTTTTCAAGACAACGGTACTATAACTTTCCTCAGTAAACACGATGTGTCATTAGTGCACAAAACACACAGAAATGGCCAGTTTCTAATCACGTCAAGTGCTTTTCCTGACAGTGCCCAGAGCTCTTTAATTGAGTTGTGCCTAACATCCTTAAGTCACCCCACCCATTTTAGATAGCTCCATAGATGTTCAGCTGCCCACACGGCAGAAAATGCTGTGAATTCTGTGTCTGAATTAAAATTGGGATTACCCAATTCACGCTTTTCTTTTCATAAACTGCCTCCAGTGAATTCATGAGACCAAGAAGAAGAAAATACCTCCTACTGTGCAGCAATTTGTAAATTTTGTGGCAACAGAAATAGAAAAGCATTAGACTAAACAATCTATAAAATGCAGGCCTTCATGCAAATTTCTACACCACTACTTCTACTGATACTATATAGAGATAAAATCATACTACATGCACACAGAGTGTCTGGATCAGATGTTACGATGCTATAATTTTCAGCATTGTGCTTGATCAGCTGCCCTTGACTGCATTTAACAGCTGTCATCGCAATAATTCATCCAGAGGCGACTTACCTGTGGACGCAGTCTTTTCATCATGTGACGGAAAAAGTCATCAAGCTCTTTGCCCTCAATGTAGCCATTATCTGTCCAATTATAAAAAAGAAAATCCCGATGTCATTAACAATTAAACAAAGTTGGATTTTCTTTCAAATAAATAAATAAATACCTAGTGGAGAAGTAGCTCTACCATAAACAAGCTGAGTTCATATTTTTAGGTGTCTTGTGCAACTTTGCACTACTGCTTAGTATTCAACACCCTCTGTTTTATCTAATCTTTTCAGATGTGATTAATACAAAGTTCCTACAGGAAATGAACAACTCACTCATTCTCTTCTTCTTCTTTTTTTTTTTTAAATGTGATTATATGTAGCATACTAATATTTCAACTTCATGAGAGGTCACCTTTCTTAAATGTCTAGCAATGACAAAAAAAAAATAATTCTAGGTACTCCACTCTGTTTTATGTTTTATTATAAGAACAATAAGAAGACATGAGTGAATGTCCTTACCATCTGCATCAAAGTGTTGCCATATCTCCAGGAAACCAGCTGCGTCCAGGTCCTCAAAGGCAGAGTCCATGTTTATTAAGGAAAAGCAGGCTGTGAACTTTACACATACAGAAAGAACGACGTCTGAGGTGACAAACTGTTTTTACACTGTAGCCTGCTTGGTTGACATATGCTTTTTGTGACTAAGCGAAAAACCACTCCTCCTTCCTCTGTGTATGTGTGTGTAGGGAGAGAGAGAAACACACAGTTCACACAGAAGGAACAGCACTACTGTATTTGCCATCTGGTGGTTGTTTAGCTACACTGCAAAGCAGATCTTCAACTGGAACAACAGATACACACAACGTGACAAATGTTATAGCCTGTAAAATTATTTTAATCAGTATTAAGTGCATGAAGAAATGCCCATCATCAGACTTAGTGGAACATATTTAACCGTGTCCAAACAGAACAAGTGATGTATTAATGACAGAAGGAAACAACCAAACAACAAAAACACATTGAAGTGCATTAACAATCAAAGTAAACCTAAAGTGATTACGTTTAATAAATAATTACGTACAAAGAATTCATTTCTACATTTATAAACAAGTGAGAGGAAAACCAACAAATGATCAAGACATCACTGGCCACTGTTTGCTTTTTTTGAATTTTTTTTTTTTTTATTATTCCAAATAAGTTACAAACAAATCCCTAGTATAGAAGTGTACTTAGTACCAAAACAATATAGGATTCGCTGCGGTCACATAGGTGTGTGGCTATATCATATGTAAGTATATTACACGTGCATATGTTACACATACATATATACACACACCTACATGTATGACAGCACATATATACATACAGTACAACTCACAGTCACATCATGCAGTCACACACGTAGACACCGAGGTCTAAACTTAATGCTACGAGTTATTTTCATGTTTCTCCCACCAACAGAAACGATGTGGACACTCAAGTTTGGAAGGAAACTGGAAACTATCTTTCACGCGATACCACAGATGTCCGGATCCTTTCCTTGCAGCATATTGCAAAGTAGTGCTTTTTTTGTTTTTGTTTGTTTTAGATAGGCGTGAACACCTTTGAGACAAAAAGTGAAGTCTGAGTGTTGAAAATCAAAGCAGCTCTTAGGGACAAGACTATATACAGCAGAGACGTTGTTATTTCAAGTCCATGATTAGTGACAAAGAAGCAAAACCTAACCCTAGAAAAAAGACATCAGAAGACACCATAATATATGGAAAAGGTGCACCAGTAAGACCTTTGGCCCGGACTTGAATTAGGCTCTTGCACAGTAACATGAATACAAGCCATGGCCCTTTCACACTGTTCATGAAGACCCAATCTTGAGCGCACATATCAAAATGACAATAGAGCACAGCTCGACCTGCAGAATAAGTAGTTAATGCGATATAAAAGGTTGGAGTTTACATACCGGTGTTTATAGAGTGTGATGCTGACATTGTGTCAGACCGAGTGACTGCAGAGCTCAAAATAAAAACAGAGGCATCTGTTTAAGACTGAACTGGCAACACAGTGCAGCATCACACTCAGGAAGAGTGGGCTGACTGAAGCATATCGGCCACTAAAAACCGACGTGGCATGAGTGGGATATCAAACCATTTATGCAACGTCTGTGAAACTGCACGGTCCAGTATCAAAAAAACAGCATCACGTGCAGATGGAGAGATGAGCTGTCCACAAATCCTTTGCCACTTTCACTGTTTTCTTTACTTTTTTTCAATTCTGAAGATTATTGAGTCCAAAAGCACCATGTATTTGAGAAAGTTTGCAAACTGTATCAGTGTGAAAAGGTCACTGCTTGTTCTTAGAAGAGAGAAATCAGAAGAATTTGGCCTGAGACCCGAGCTAATGTGACTCAGTCAGATCCTGAAAATGGTATGTACAAAATAGCCCGAAGGTCCACGTGGTCAAAATACTGCTACCTTCAGTTCACTTCCACTTCAGGCACTGCTTGCTTTTTGAATTTAAGCATTATGATTGCCACCTAATGGCTTGAGTTTTTTTCCCGTCCTGTGTGGAAAGTAAAAGTGAACTAAATTTGGAAGATGCTGAGGAAGAAGAGTGTCTGAAGGCTGGATTTCCTTCCTGTATCCTGCTTTTACACAGAGGACAAACTGATGAGGTTATTTTCAAAGCCTGGGCTTTTCTTTTGGAGGAATGTCAATATTACTCAATGAATAACATTAGTCTGTTTTTGGAAGGAAGGAGCCCTCTTTATCTTTAAGAGCAATACAGAGTCTCAACATTTCGACTAAAGGCTGCAATTTGTTTTCAGGAACACTTAGTAAGAATTTAATTTTGTTATAAACACAGAAATTTGGCCTAAATGTATACAATCAAACTCTGTATTGCACTTTAGTGGTATCCTCTCCCCTTAAAACAGCAAATAAGATATTTTTCCACAGTGTTTACGTACAGAGAACAGTATTATTTAACAGTGCTGAAGCCATACTGATTATCAATAAAGTTAAAGTTAAACACATCGCACTGTCACTCCAGCTCTTGCAGTGAGTCTAACTTGAGTCCAGGTGGTGTGTTTTAACCGATTTACAGTTATCCCTCAGTCCTGCAGTGTAGTCTGGCTAGTCCCCTGTGAGTAAGTCAAAGTACATCAAATATATCTGAGTTCTGTCTTTGCTTAGAGTCTCAGCTGAAACCTGTATATTCCTGTAAAAAAAACACGAATTGCATAATGGATTCAGGCACCGTTGAAGTCCCCAAAAAGTCCTTTGCACATGCTGAAGATTGTATATACCAAAATCTGTAAAAATATATTGAAAAAAACAAACGCCATTGATTCCTGGTCTGGTTGTATGGGTAAAGTACAGTAATCGTGACGTGAGCGGTATTGCGTGTTTGGTCCTTCGGAGACGAGCTATGGCAACAGACAACAGAAAGACTCAAGTTAAAGATTTTACACGTACACACACTTTCACAGTCTCTCTGCTTTTTTGTATAAATGTCATGCATCATTTTTAGTGGTTTGAAAACTTAAGATTTCTATTTAGGTTCCAGACATGAGATTTTTACCTGAAAGCAGAGATCAATAGTGTGATCTAGAGAGGAGAGAGAAGGCTGTCTGTGAGAAGGAAGCTCTTTTGCGACATAGTAAAGTATTTGGGTTAGGTTAGATAACCAAGGAGTTAAAACCCATCATTAAACATAATTAAATTAAGAGGTTTTCTTTTTATAAACTACTACAAACCAAATCTGATTGTTGTACTTTGCAGTCAGACAGGACCTACAGGTACAAGCTCTAACACAAAAGAAACAACAGTTAGGTTTGCTGCCCTGTGGGGGCTTTCCTTCGTTCAATGTAAATGTGAAGCTTGTCAACAGGCGTTTTACGTCAATTTGTTTTACTTATATCAAAATAAAGTCTTTGTCTGCCTCCTCCCCAGAGTCTGAGGACTTCTTGCCTGCTGCTTTGTCCTTGTCTGAGTTTGCACTTTGGTCCTTGGTCTTGGAGGAGGTGTGATCTTCAGAGTTGGTGCTGAGAGGGCTGGATCGCTGAACAGAGTCCAACATAGATCTCACTGGTGGAGATAAAAGGAGAAGAAATAATGAAGCAAGAAAGAGAAGAAAACTTAAAACAATAATAAGAATAACAGTTTTAGCTGTTTATTGTTTAGTGACTAACCCACAAGGACTGATGGCTGCTTATTTTCACCTCTGTTCTCTTTCTATATTATGGTTATTTTTCAACAGTAGGATAATGGAAAAAATAACCATGTTTGCTGCTGTAATAATGATATTATTAAGTTATAAGACTATGAAAGGAAAGCGAAAATAAAATTAAATCAAGAGAACTTGTAACATTTTATCTATCTATGTTTGGACCTTTTAGCTCAGAGCCTCGAGCAGAAGCATAGTTAGCTTCTTTAACCATATTTCTAAACTGGCAACAGACCATTGTGACTGTGCAATTTGAAGAGTAAGATTCAGTAGCATGGCATATGATTGGTTGAGTTGACATGAATGAATTTAAGCTCTGCGGTCCCACGGGAATGAAAGAAGTGGCGTTCCATATGTTCCATTAAGAAATGGAGAGAAAATTGCAATATTTTAAATATTCTCAATAGCAGCCCTACACTCAGTTAATAATACATAAACTCACTTTAGGGATTAAGATTAATGCTGTCCACAGTTTGAATATTGGCTTTGATCCCGTCTTTGTAGTTTCAGCATATTTCAGGAGCTGTACTTTTTATCTACTTTCAAAAAGACTCTCACTCCAAACTCACACCACTTTTTCTGAGTGGTAGCCTGCATGAAGTTGATTTTTCTTGCTTATTGTGATCATTATGTTGAGTCAAAATGGCAACTTTTTGCTTTTGAAATCTTGCAAAATTACTTTTTTTTTTTTTTAAAGTTTACTAGTGGTTTTACTTTGCACTACATTGACCAGCAGATCACGCTGACAACTGTAGTGCCTGGAGCGAGGCCTGGGATCCCAGATGAGATCCGGAGGAAAGTGCAGAGTTTCAGAGGCGGAGCTGTTGAGTGAGCATCATGGGGAACGTGAGGTGTTTGGACAGTAATATGGGCAAGTTCAGTGATGTGACTGAGACCAGGGGGAAGACGGTCTGTAGTCTTCACCACTTACTGGACCACAGTGGCTTCAGGCTTCTGGTGAACTGGGACTTTAATCTGAACAGAAGTTAACATTGCTGTGTAAAGGTAGTTTGAATAAACACACTGTGTGGATTCCTCCATCAGGAACAGATAACAACCAGATAACAACAGGGACTACATTTCAGCTCCTTCTTGTGTCATATTTAGATTCAAATTAATGACTTCTTTATGTGGCTACTAAACTGAGCTCCTCCTTTAGGTAACTCTGGAACCTTTCAGAGTTATTTCTTTCTGTGATGTTACATTTCATTTACTTTTTTCATATAAAGTTGAATTTTCAATCATCATAAGGAATATAAAGGCAGTGCTTTAAGTTCTAGATGTTGGGATCTAACCAGTATTCATGTTTGAAATGAAAACTTTTGTCAAAGGTCACTTGAAGATTGGCCACTGGACCAGGGTTTCAAATACAAACTCTCACATTAATAATAATGTATACATGTTACATAATAGATAGTAGATCAAAGGCAGTGTGAGCCTTCTGACAGCTGTGACCCGAATCTGTCAGTGTCACATCTGTCATTTCGTAGAAAATACAGCAGCGGCCTCCACGGCACGATAACAAATACGAGACCGCAGGGGAAGCAAACACTGTATCAGATCCTGGCAGCGAGATCAAACATCCACCAGTCTGTCCAACTTCACCAGGAGACAAAAAAGTAACAGCTGATGTATTTATACGGGGATGACTGACAGTTCACTGCATTTTCAGTGAGGCTCAAAATCTATTTTCTTTAATGTGTTAACAAGAACAAAATAGGAGAAACGTACCTTCCTGAGTGGTTTTGTTGGTGGAGACTCCGTCCTTGCCTTTTTCCGATAGCACCCTCTTCAGTGTTGGAGGAAGAACTGTGGCTTTATGAGACACACTGCCACTGCTGGTGGAATCTGAGCTCTCATCTATGTGAAGAAAAAACGAAGCAAGAGAAAACAATCTTTAAGCATTAAGTATGGATACATACCTAACAAAATAAAACATCGCACAGAGTTTGACAGTACCTGTGCTCCTGCTGCTATTCGTGGTCCTCGGCTTCTGCGGGATTGTAGGTCGAGCAGCCAGAGCAGGCTTTGCTCCCTGTGGCACCGGTGGTTTGGGACTTACTGGTCCTCCTGGGGAACTCGAGGAAGACGTAGCTCTGAGACGAGGAGCTGGCTCGGGCTTAGTCTCACCGCGTGGTGAGGTCTTCTCTGGAGAAGCAGGGTCGGGCTTACTAACAGAACCACCGGGAGACCTGCTTTCTGGAGTGGTGGGTTGAGGCTTGGCTGTTTTACACGTGTAACAATGAAAAAGAAAAATCTGTTTTTTTATTGTTTTATTGTACTGGAAACATCAAAAAGATTCTTAAACTATCTCCTCTAAAATTTCAGGTATATGAAGAAGAAAAAAGCTCACCTGTTGTATTGCTGTCAGGTCTGTCAGGGCTGGAAGACTAGAGCAGACGAAAAAAACAAATAAACACTGGATCACTACACAAAACAGCTGAATAGTTTTAGATCATGCTCAAGTGCACAGATGCAATTGCCGTTTTTCAGTTTCAACCATACACACACCAGGAAGCCAACCAGAAGCAGCGTACAGCAGGAGAAGCTTTAGTGCTACTGATACAAGGTACAAGACCCAGAAACCTCCGAATGTTGCAAATACCACAAACTTTTAGTTTAATCCCTGGTGTTGCCACACTAATTCTTCCCCCTTTGAATCAAAATCCATTTTTTTCCATTTTCTCTTTTTTCCTTTTCTATTTTTAATACACACCAGGGGAAATAAATATGTCACAGTGGATAAAGCAGACGGACGTGTGGGACGAGCAGTTGTATGGCTGGGAAATCTATGTAGGTAGAATATTCACAGCACTTATGTCATGCTGTGAGTCATGACAGAAAAAAATAAAATCGGCCTTCTTTTTCGTCTTAATTTTGTCATTTTGCTTGATTTCATGTTTCCATGAATTCAACTTTGCACTTGTTTCCATTCCTGCTACTCTCACCTTGCCCTCTGGCAGAGAGGCTTGTTTGTGTTTTTATGTCAACATGTTGTCAGGTGCTGTGAGCAGCCTGAGGTCATCGGGGTCCTTGCATGCCTTTGATTTTCAATGCTTCTTATTTTACATATCCTCCCAGTGGGGACGTCACACTTAGTGACTGTTGAATAAAGGAGCTTTGACAAGTGGAAGCTCTTAACCTAGAGTGCTTTGACTCCAAATATGCTCTTTTTAAAAAAGCACCACCAGCAAGGGTGTACTGGGATATCGTTGATTGACTGATCAGGATCCTCTGAACTTATTAAAACTACAGTTTACAGTTTATTTTTCCATTTATCTGCTAAATAAGACTTGTTTTAAATAAACTTAAATAACACAATATTAATTAAAAATTAACTGCAGTATTATTTTCACAAGCTAAGAACAACCCTAATACCAAAACTGACGCCACGTAAGGGCCCCACCCAACTACAGAGCAATAATTAGCCACAAGGACGAATTGCTTTACATTCAAAAACAGAAAACAAGTAAAAAAATTCTCACTGCTCGAATATGAAAGAAGAAAAAAAAAAAAAAGGCTGTGTTTTGACAAGAAATGAGGGTATACCAAGAGGAAGGAGAAAAAATAAAAGCTGTGAAAATGGCCCAGGCGAGACAAATAGGAAATCCACTAAATGAAGTGTGACAGGACAGGAAAGTCCCTTTTAAAAAAAATATTCATCTTCTTTTAGTAGGTCGCTTATTAAGGCAATATCTTTAGCTCAACTTCAGAGACTTGGCTTGAACCCAGGGTGGAGTGAGTCGTGACGAGTGTCAGGGGTGAGGGTGAGAAGGAGGTGAAGGGGGAAGAGGAGGAGGCATCTGAATCGAAGGCTTTTTTAATCCAAATACAGAAAAAATAAAATAAAATGTGTGTGCATGTGTGTATACATTTATAGACAAACAATTAGCATAGACGATGACTTTAATTCCTGGAATGTGTAAATATATTTTAACGCATTTTGATGCCTGTGTGCTTCTCTACTCATTTAAAAGCCCAAACATATGAATCAACTTTAAACCGCTTCATTATATCACCAATCAAAGAAATAAGTAGAGCAGTAGCTATTTGGTTCCACTGGCAGGATGTTTGCAGGATTAGTTCGGCATGTTTATGTGTGTGACTGCTCTGTAATACATTCTTAACTCAAAGACTTTTTACTCACTAAATTAAGCTTGTATATGTCTTTTTGGATTTGCCTCAAGTCTTTGTCTTCATCTTTGAAACAGAGCCATCATACATATTGCTGTGCCCCATTTTCATGTACTTTGTGTAGTTTCTTTATTTTTTGGTTTAATTGGCATCACTTTACCTTGTACGCTCTTCTTTCGTGCTTGGCTTTCATCTCTGCTAGGAGCCCACTGCCCATCATCTGCACACCAGGATACCGCTTGCCTCCCTGAGGACTCCCCCTGCCATCTGAACCCTCCCAGGGTTCGTCCATGGAGTCTGGTGTCCTCAGCTCCTCTGAGCGGTCTGAGCTGCTGCTGTAGTCTGTGGGCTGTGAGCGACTGGAGGCGTCTCTGTGGTGGAGACGGAAATGTTGTCAAAAAAGCTGGGAGTGGTTACAGAGGAATATAAAAATATATATATATAATTCTGCTTTAGTCTTCATCTTCACCTCGACTTCGGCTCAGGTGCCGGGCTCTTAATTGCAACCTTCGGTGAGGAAGGCTCCTCTGGGATGACGGATGGCTGTGCAGAGGGTGATGGACCCGAGGATGTTAAAGTGGCCTGGATTTTCTCAGACTTATCCAGTTTGTCTGATTTATCCGATTTAGAGGATCGTTTGATGAGATTTAGAAATCCTCCTTTCTTTTTCTTCTCGCCATCTTGAGATTCTGAACTCTTCAGGGAACGCCTGAGAAAAGACACGACGGACAAAGGGACACATGAGAGAAAGACTTAATAAGAGAGGAGTATTAGAAATGACAAGATGAAGCCCATTTCAACTTATGTATTCAGTGGATAAAAACATAAAGAGACAAGAGTACAGTCCTTACTTGGAATCCATCTTGGTGACTTTTTTAGAGAAGAACTCATCTACACCCTCATCCACCCTTCCCATGAGGCCGTTCTGTTCCCCATCTTGAGATGGAGTGCTGCTGATTTGCTGAAAGAAAAAAGATTTTCTGGACCATCTGACAGAAAGCAGATCAACTGCACTGGACTATATCTAAAGAGGTCTTATATGTTTATTTTGAGACAAATGTAAGCTCACTAATGCCTTGAAGTAAACTTGAGAAACCCATCTTGACCACTCACTGGTACTTTGCTGGAATGTGTCTTTTTGTTCCTCCGAGGTCGGAGTTTGGTGAAGTGCTGGAGCTTTTTTTCTTCCTCAGATGGAAGCTCCACCATCACACCTGTGGGACATGGCTCCAGTTTGGGCAGCACCATAGATGGAGTGGATGGAGTGTGAGATGAAGTTGAAGTATCCTCCACGTGGATCGGGACATCTTCCAGGGCTTTGTCCAGGTCAAACTCCATCTCTGTAGATTTGTAATTTTAAAGGATCAAATACAGAGAAATAAAAAATAAAACCCCATCAAGTCAACTTCTTATCAAAGTTATTACAGTTAAAACTACAAACTGAAAAACTCAAACTAGATATGAAAAAAGATTTTAACTATAATAAAAAAATTAAAACTAGACTTTTATGAAACGTTAACAACATGAAATGATTTTGGGAACTTGGAAAATTGTCTTTAAAAAAAGGAAAAAACAAAGAAAGTTAACATGACTTAGCTGATGAGGGTTTATTGGACATATTTGAAACTATTTTTCTAAATATTTTCCTAAATCTTGCCTCTGGCATGTGTCCTCTATAACTACACTAAACACTAAAACTAACACAAATTTAAGTAAAACTAAAGATTTCCAACCAATAAAAACTAAACAAGAAATAAAAATCACAAAAGGTCAAAAAAAAATTAATCCAACTACAAAACTAGAAGTATTCTGCTTTGTATAGCCTAAAGCAGCAAGACGGCATGATAATCTCAATTTAAGAGAACGTGGTGTTATAACATGTAAACTCAGAAATATGAAGTACCAACCAAAGGCACGAGACACTGGTCGCAGCATCCTGCTGTGGATGCTCTTCCTTTTGGATTTCGGAGTCATCTGCAGGAGGAAAAGTTACACTTGTAGCAACTGTGAACTAAAATGAAAACTTTATTTTCTATAAGTGACGAGTGGATGAGTGCTGAAGATTTTAAAACCACGTAAGCAACAACTGTGTGCAAGTACAAAAAGAGTGAACAAAAGAACAAACAGCACATCTGTCATAACGCGACACAACCGAGCCGTTAACATAATGTTTTCCACATCTTATATTTCTAATTCCTTAACATTGAAACTCAATAACAGATATTATAGCTTCCTGTGTTTAACCGTCAAGCTTATGAAGAGATAAAAATTAATATTGGGCAGAACTGAGTTCAGCTTATTGCTGCAGCCCTCCACAACAAGAGTCTTATGTGGCCCTTTGATAAATTTGTTGTCCACCCCTTCTCCGAAGTCTTGACTGCTGCTTTTATTTACTCGTATCTCAGTGCCACAAGATGATATCGGATCTCCAGTAGCCAAATGTATATTTAACTTAGAACATACTTTACAGAAAATAACAATATTGTAGCCCAGTTTTCTTCAGACTTGGAGCTCATACTCTTAGTTTACAAACCAAAGTATCGACTGGTTAATCTGACAAATCTCTAGAATTTTAAAGGGGTTTGAAATGTTATCTTTATTATTTATCCTTAAACACAGTGGCAGGTTGAGGGAAGCTCTACTGCTTCTTTTTAAGGAAACACTCTTCATACACCAAATTGTAAAAGAACCCAGTGAGGACTGTATAGCAGGCATGCACAGGGGAGAGTGAGGGACAAGGAAAAGAACAGTGAGAGCAAAGAAAAGTGGACAGGAACGAGAATCGAGCGAGGCAGTCCACTATTACTTACACTGGTGCAGCACAGAATCTCCATGGAGCAAAGGAGGAAAAGAGAAGAAGGAAAAGAGGAAAAGATTGAAGAGAAAGGGAGACAACACGGAGTAAGGCCTAACGAAGAACAAGCGAGGAAAATGAAAGGAAGCAGAGGAGGAAGGAGAGGGAGGCAGGGGAAAGATTTAAGAAGAAGAAGAAAAAAACGTGGAGATAACTATGGAACCAGAGGAAGACGGAGGACAGGAGGACTTGCTGCTTTTCCCCACAGCAGACTGCACCAACACTTTTCTGCCAGATGATTACAGTTATCATCTTTGTTTTGCCAACAGAAAAAAAACGGACACTGCTAAATATTTCACCTCTTAACTCGAGGCCTATAAAAGACTGTTTTCACTTGCTTCTGTTCCAGTTTGGCTGGGAGAAATAATATATATTGCACTGCTGGTAGTGAGCTCCAGCCTAGTTTTGTAGCCTTTCTACACCATTTACTCACCTGCATTAAAAATGAGCCAATAACAGCCAAGAGTGCTGTTAGCATTTTGGCAAAAGTTTTTCAGTCTGTGCCAGAATTAATGATGGTCAATATAAAGATGACGAGAACAAATGTTTTAGGTAGAGGTTAAATTTAAGGCAGGTGTATTTGTGAGCTACAGCTAACTGTGAGCAAGAACCACTGCCTCCCTTTGCTTAGGTAGGTCAGCCGTTAATTCTAATTAAACACTCACACCCCTCACCTGTTGCCCACCATAACCTACCATACATGTTTCCAAATCCTCAAGCCTCTCAGCCTCCAGTATCTCGGCCGATGCCCTTTTTGGAATCTTTTCCTCCGGCACATCCAGGTCCACCGACTCCTGCTGCACCAAGGGGCGACCTCGGCGTACCAGATGATCCGCCTGAGACGACCGGTGACAAGAAAAACAATGAGATAGCGTGCAAGAGAGACAAAAGATGTAAAGAGAAGAAGGAAAGTTGTTGAAAGGCAAGCAAACAGAAGGGGTGAAGAGTCAGGATGAGACAAGATCAATAGGGGAGAAAATACTAAATAATTTTAAATCAACATTTACTTTTCCCCCTCTAGCCATTGTTAATTAATGAACACAAAACAGTCTATTCTAATCTTACCAGCACGTGCTGTGACGTGGAAAGAGCCTCCAAAATCTCATCGACGATGCGATCGGACAGAAAGGACGCTAGACTCAGCTTCACCTCACTGCCACAGAGAGAGAAGGTGAGGGGAGCTGTAAGGTCACAACAGACTTAAATGCTTAAACTATGAAGCCTCCAAACACACCTGATCTTGTTGATGATATCTACCCCAGACTGCTCTAGGAGGGTTTTGCTAACAAAGCTTTTAGGTACAACCATCCTAGCTGAGCTGGCCTTCATCAGCTCTACTCGAAGATTACTCTTCTTCATCACATGAGGACACAGAGACTCTGCTGCATCCATCATGGTCTCCAATAGCGTCTAAAGAGACAGCAGGGAGGAAAATGTAATGATGGATCTGATTAAATCCCCAGATGACAGGCTGTTATACTGATCTCATGAGCCTACATTTAAAATGCAATTTCACAGACTTTACTAATATATGAACGTTGGGGGCCAACCTGCAGCTGTTGGTCCATGACAGCAGTCACCTCCCCGGCCATAGACTCCAGTTTCTCCTGAATTGGACCTACTGAAGTACTGTTCACCTCCTCTCTGGAAGCTGATCCGAGGTGGTAGAGGTTGGGAAGCAGCTAAAACACGACAGGAAGGCACAAAAGGAGAGGATAAACATGGGCTTTCAATATGGCTGATTGAATTTTTGCTCTAAATTTTGAAAAAGAAACATCTCGATATCACTGGAACAATATAAACTATCCACACTGTATTACTAAATTCATTATAAAAGTCTAAATTCAAATGGAACATATAGAATATAATAAAACACTGACAGTAAGATAGAGTTTACGTATGTGTGTCAATATATTAGTACAGGGCAGCCATGTTTCCTAATGCATGTGCACCGATCGGGCATAACCGCTGATGACGTGAAGTGGATAACACTCATTATCACTTTGTCATGGCACCTGTTGGTGGGTGGGCTATATTAGTGTGAAGGTGGACGTTTTGTCCCTTTAAAGTTGATGTATTACGAACAGGAAAAAATGGGCAAGCTTAAAGATTTGAGCAAGTTGGATGAGGGCCAAACTGTGATGGCTAGACGACTGCGTCAGAGCTCCTGTGGGCTATTCTCAGGCTGCAGTGGTCACTTATTATCAAAAGTGGTCCAAGGAGAAACAGCAGTGGGCATCCAAGGCTCACTCATGCACAAACGTGCTCTTCACAGAAAAGGACGGATCGCGTGGTTTAACTAACAGACTGTATCTCACATTGGGGACCCATTGAATGTAAAAGGGGGACCAGCACAATACTTAGCAGGTGCTCATAATGTTATGCCTGGTATGTGTCTATAGCTGACAAATACACCTTAAAATCTTTTATGATGCAGGATACTTGGTGAATTTGAAAATGTGGGTTTGTTTTGAATACTTCTTTTGTACATTATTTAAGACAAACATACCCTACATAATTTTTGGTTTTCCAGTAAGGAAAAAACTAACAAAAAAGTAGAATTAATACAATGATTTAGAACAAATGTAGGAAGAACATTTAAATCGATTGCATAAAATAATATATACGGTATGATTCTGACAGGCTGTGGTCTGGACCTCTGCACACTGAAAGTAAGCATGGGCATTGCACATTTACTGGTACAAACCATGACTTGTATATCCATCGATAATCCAGTGTTTACAGTACAAATAATGCTTCTCCTCTTGATGCTTTTGTGCTTTTTGAAACAGAAACACTTTTGGAAGCATCTTTGGCAGCCCACCTTTTGTCCCGCTTTTCATTTTTTTAACTGAATGGTCACAGCATGTAAAGATTAACTGAATGTTTTATTAATATTTTATCTCAAGCTTTTTGGTTTTAATGTCGAAAGCACTTTTATTAGAATATCTGCTTCGAGTTTTTATCAAATCTGTTCTTAGAGACTTCAGTGTACAGTTACAGTGTGCAGCAAAAGTGCAGGTGTGACTGCGCACAAGTTTAGGATATTGAAGAAGGCCCAGTCTATCCTGGCTGATCTTAGCCTTCTCTTATCAAAGGACGTCCAGTTGCTTCCGTCTGGTTTCAGAAACTGTATGTGAAGGACAAATAGACTCAAGACCTCCTTTGTCCCAGCTGCCGTTGAGCTTTTGAATATCTTCTTAATTGTAATTTTACATAATGTAGCGATTTTGTGTATCTACTGACTATTTACTGCTTGATGTTAGTGTGTTTTCTGCTGACTGTACAACAAATTGCCCCTTTGGTGATAATAAAGAATCCTTGACCCCTTCAGCTGTCTCCTCACCGTTTTTGAATTTCTGGCATCTTTGATGAGGCTCTCCGCTGACCTGACATCCTCCAAGATGGCGTCCGTCTCCGAGTTCCTCAGAGAGTTCAGGTGGTCCTGGACTTTAACACAAATCCTGTCAATCATCTGGAAAACAAAAACAACAAGCGATGACTGTTTTTGTGTGTCATACAACATGTAAAATGCTCAAAAGAGGAGTTTCCAGATGCAATTTAGTATAACTTGGGGCAAAGACACTCAGTGCTATATCACTACACCAACATATTTAATATTACATAGTAACTAAAGTTCAGAGCGGAAGAGTTTAAGTTTCTTGGGGTCGCAATAATCGCCTCACTCACCTGCTGTGTGGTTGTGGTTACGATGCCCTGCTGAAGCCGATAAGCCTGTTCCTGAAGATATTTTCTTGTTTCGTGGTTCCTGTATAAATACGTTTCAATCTATGGAGCGAAAACAAAGCTGATGTCATGACAGCAAACTTAAAATAAAAGATTAAAATTAAAATCAGTGTCAGTTTATTCAGTATGTTTTTCTTCACTGATGCCATTGCATTCAGCATGTTTTAAAGACAAAAAGTCTCTAAAAGACAGGAACCAGAGGGAGTTCTTCATGTACCTTTAGTAAGGCATCCTCAGTTTTCTCAGGGCTCGCCTTTAGAGCCTGGGAGGCATCGATGATGGGGAGGGGCATGAAACGAATGGTGAAGTTCCTAATGGATTTTTTTTTTTTTTTAAACAAAATGAAGAAGAAGCAAAGTGATGTATTTAGAGACACATTGTGCATTGTAGCAGTGAAACATTATTGGATTAAACTGGTACTCCTGCGGAGGTCACTGATCTCTAAGTGAGAATCACACACATTATTTACATCCACATTAAGATTGGAGAGATGAAGGGACAGACATGTAAGGCAGAAAAACAAAGACAAAAAAGCATATATACAGTACTACAATTCTACATTGTAGATACAAACTGAAGACAAGAAATATATGAAGCAAGATATATGGAATTATGCAGCAAAGAAAAAATTAATAAATAACTCTAAATATGTCTTATATTTTAGATTCCTCAAAGTAGCCACCCTTTGCTTTGTTGACAGTGCTGCAAACCCTCGGCCTTCTCTAAGTGGTGTCAGGGTTCATGGCCTGGCCTCCACAGTCACCTGATTTAATCCCAATCGAGATGGTTTGGGGTGAGATGGACTGCAGTAAAGGCAAAAGGGTCAACAAGTGCTCAGCATCTCTGGGAACTGCTTCTGGACCATTTCAGATGACGACCTCATGAAGCTCATTGAGAAAATGCCAAGTAGGGCTGTTCCATATATAACGATATATATCGGGTGACGATATAAAAACGTCTATCGTTTCATTTTACGCTATCATTTGTTTCGTGGTGTCCCAAAATAAACTGTTTACGGCAATATTTTTTCATCGTTTTGATGGTCACTGTAGTGGCTATATTCATTTCTTAAAGTTGTCTCTTTCTCTTATATTTAATATAACCACACTACAGACGGACAAGCGCCTGTTTTTATGGGTTGTTGTTAGCAACAACGACGGTAACACCATCGCATGTCCGCTTGTTTATTTTCCACATAAACTTTTCACAATAAAGCTCAAGATCCTGTTGAGACTTTTCAAAATAAACAGAATCACATGAAAAAGTATTATTGATGGATGAGAAGCAAAAAAAAAAAAGCCATCAGGTGCTAAAAAATAAACCTTAGACTCAAACGTTAGAACAGGCTTTTCCCCGCAGCACGCCGTCTAATAAATACTCACAGAGAAAACGGCGGCCGTTACAACCCATGTCTAAAAAAGTATAGTTTCATGCATCGGTTAAAACACTCGACTCCAGATACATGACGCCCAGCTGGAAACACTTCACCTACCCGAGATTCACAGAATTTACAGAAAATGTTAAATTTTTTGTGATTTATATCGTTATCGGACGATAGATGTTTTATATCGGGATATGAGATTTTGGTCATATCGCACAGCCCTAATGCCAAGCGTGTACAAAGCAGTAAACAAAGCAAAGGGTGGATATTTTGAAGAATCTAAAATATAACACGTTTTGAGTTATTTCTCACTTTTTTGTTTACTACATAATTCTATATGTGTTAATTCATTGTTTTCATGCCTTCAGTGAGAATCTACAATGTAAACAGTCATGAAAATAAAGGAAAACCATTAAATGAGAAGGTGTGGCCAAACTTTTGACTGGTAGTGTATAAACCTGTTGCGATATGAAGGTAAAGCAAAGGGATTAGAATAATTTTTTAACCTCAAAGGCTGAATGAATGATTGTTATTCATTCAGATTGTCATGTGTGCTCTCCTTCCTCACGTCTTGACCAGACAGATCTACTCTGAACAATTTCTATAAATCACTGAGACCCGTGGATAGCTTTTATGTGCTGGGGATTGTGGGAGACTTTGAATACTCCAACTGTCTGTTATATTGCAGTATTGAATATCTGGAGAGAAAAAAAACTTTAAAGAATGCATGGTACACAGGAGGAAAATGGCGAATTGAGCAAAGGAAACAAAGACACACGATGCTGCACTGCTGAACCGAACGGAGATCAGAAACAAGAAATTGTTTTTTCAATAATACAACGCAGAGACTCGGAGGGGAAATGAAGATATGTGCTGCTGGGAGAATATGACAAAGAGAGAGGAGATGAAAAAGAGGAAAGAGGTGGATGAACCTACACATCCCAGAAGGAAATTTATTCACACGCACAAACATCCAAATATACAATCTGAAGGCACGGTAAACAAAATCTGATTTGTCTGGCTTTGACTTCTACTTTTTTATGTCTTAATGTATCACGCTTTCTTTCCCTCAGCACACTTTCATGTCATTGTGTCTCTGTAGTATTCCCTGCGTGTGTCACTCTCTCCTCTCTACGCCTTCCTTCCTCTTATCTTTTCCTCCTGTCTAAACAAACCTCAGACTTTCCTTCTGCTCTGCACGAAGAAAAAGCCCCATCTGGGCTGCAAAAGCTAACTACACATCCGTTCCTTCAGCAGTTTTAATGTTATACACAAAAGCATGCACGGCGTAAAAAAATAAAGAAAAAAAGGCATTATAGAAGCACTATACATTTAAAGATTTAATTTTGAATAGACAACACTAAACCACGCACTCACATTTACAAGCATGGACGGCATTACTTACTTTTCCAGAGCGGCTGCTACATCCTGCAGACCCTGAGGGCTGGTGTTGTTCTTATCCCAGATCACAGTCCTGCTCAAAACAAGCACACAGTATGACGCGAACAGAGGAAGCCATTAATTCTCAAAGATGATTTACAAGATTTTATTTGCTATCTTCTGATTACCCATAGGCATTAAAGAACATTTGTAGGGATTTTATACAGAAAAAAGGGGGTAAAAAAAGAAAAGGGATATAAAATAGTGGTTTGAATATTTAACTGCACAGTGGCAAAAGGTAAAATCTGTGTCAAAACAATATACGTAAGTATAAGATATGGACTGTTGAATACAAATAACTGTACAATAATTCGTATATAGGGGATTGTAAATATTGTAGCCTATTTTAGTTACTGCATTATTAATACAGCAGTAATTACACAGGTTTATTAATCCTAGAACACCAATGTCAGGTGATTTTCACCCACGTGATGAATAAATACCACTTTGTGGTTATTTCCAGGGGAATTCATGTAGTCAAATAAATATATTATAGTCATTTGGTCATTTTTCCTCCATGACAAAATGTCATTTATGCAGGGAGATCGTGCCTCCAAGTTTTACATGTGCCAGGAATGGGTGGCCCTAGAAGTGAGGACATTCCCAGTTCCATTGTCCTTTTCAGTTTTTTAAGGAATTTTGTTGTTAATAATTCCCTAATTTTCCACTAAATTTAGAGCCTTTTTATAGGGTACCCCCATGATACCTTTATTTATTTTATGAGATGCTGAATAAGGAGAAATAAGTGAAAAGTACATATGTTTCATCGGGTATATCATGTTACTGATGGTGTTACAAAACTGCACATTAGTTTTCTAGGGTTAATGTGGATCTATGTCCAGCTTCATATCTTTATTATTAGATGCTACTAGACAAGTTGCTTTTAAACTGGAACTCTTAGAAGCCCCTCAGCTTATGAAACAAGCAGTTTTAAAAAGTTACAACCATGTGACGCAGCTTTGACCCCTGCACAGCTACCTGAGTTTGGAGTTGATCTGTAATGCCTTAGCCAGCATTTTGGCCCCCATGTCACCCATTGCATTCCCACTGATGTCAAGCCTTGTGAGCGTGGAGTTGCTGCCCAAAGCATTGAGAACGATGGTGAGATCACTCTTGAGCCTGGAGTCTGCTAGAGACAGAGAGTTGAGGGGCTGGGAAGGGCAAGATTTAAGAGGGACAAAAGGTGTGTGTGGGGACAAGAGAGGGTAAAGGTGATTAGAGTGGGTACATATTATGAATATAAAGGGAGAAATGCATTCAAAATTACTAATACAGGACAGTAAACATGTCAACATGCGTGGCCCTCAAGTAGTATTTGATATGTTTTGGCATTGCTGGAAAGCATTCAAAAGGAACTCCTTTGATTTTGGCGATTTTGACCTGTTTTCCAGTCAAAGCATTCAAGAGCTTAGTCACTGTTACAATAAATAATTCGCATCACTTTATTACAGTTTAATAATGTTTCCATCGGCCCACCCTCTGATCTTTGCCACAAAGAAAATGTGATAATGAAGCTGGACATGACAGAAACTTTATAAAACTCTCAGGTTTTTTCATAAACAAAAAAAACTAAAAAACAAAACAGATTTGAATACTGCAAACTTCATTTAATCCCGACAGTTTCAGCTTATCTCAACTTTCAAAATAATAAATGTAGAGCGCATAACCTGTAAAAATAGTAACTAAGAAGTGTACTTGATACCCTTTCTTTGAATTCAATTTTATTGAGCTTATAAATAAATATCCAGCTGTAGTCACGTCAAGGCCTGCACGCATGCTCATTCCATGAGCTGCAACACACATACAAGAGACCTATTGTTGGATGAGAAAGGTTTCATTATTTCTTTTAATAACTGATCTTGGCAATGAAATTAACATGTCTCATGGTTTCCTGTGTTGGGAACGAGCTCTAAATATAGAGAGCTTTAAACAGAGCAAACTAACAGTTAATGCGCTCACAAAGCGAACGGGGCGGCAGAGCAAAGGCTGTTTGTTCTGACATGAAGGATTTCCTTTTAATGAAACTCAGAAGGCATATTCATGGGATAAATTTAGAGATAATGACTATAAATTGCAGTGTGTGTGGTGATGACCGTGTGAAAG